GTCATTTTAAACTTCTGGTGATTATTTCCCGGGGTGCCTTTGCTTTAGTGATTGTGGCTGCAGTTCGAGAATGTTCAGTTCAGTAATTTCATTTCGGTAACACTTTATTTGGAGGAGTCCTTTGTAGATGATTAATAAACTCTTAATACATTATCAGTAACACATCAACAACATATCAGCGAAGTAGCAGTAGTGAAGCATTTGAATGAGTTGAGGTGAATATCTTGGAAGATGTACTGTTGATACTTGCATTAAGTAGATTTATAAAACAGATAGTTCTGGTCCTAAAATCTGATTGGCTGAGCCCTTGTAAAATCCACAATATACCACTCTTACAACGCCTCACAGCAACTGAACTCTATCACTGCGGCACGAAAAACCCTTCTGCTGTTAATGGAATAATCTTTGACTTTAATGCTGCTCACATGGAGCACCGAGTGAACTGATGAAGTGGGAACCCGTTTTTTTGTTTAAACTGAGGCTGACAACTTATGTTCTTAACTAGAAGTAGACTGGTCAGCTAGCTAACAGGCTAAAAGAAAGAAAATGACAGTATAAAAGTCTAAAAATGTCACTTGAATAGATATCACACTACAAATGTTCGTGTTTCAGTCAGAAGTCGCGTCAAACCCAGACTGAATCCCAAACAGCTCTGTACTCCCTAAATAGTGTTCTAGCTATGAAAGTTTGAAATTCCAGCCTCTACAGCCAAACAGTGCATCATGTATCGAGTGTGGATGTGTCTGAATCCCAAATGACTGTTTCTTAGCTGTGTTTTGCTCTGTTGGGCTGCAGGACCCAGTATTTAAACTCCTACGTAGTGCACTATGTAGGGAGCAGGGAGCCGTTTGAGATTCAGCCCCAGGGTGAGAAGAGGGCACCACTGGACTGGTGCTAAATAAGACTCACGGTGGTGATTTAGTGACCAAAAATTGCTTCTAAAGGGAAAGTTTTTGCATTAAACAGTGCTGTGTTATCATATGATCACTGTTATACAGCAAAAGGTTAAAAAGTTCATGAAATGACCGCAATATACAGCGATGGGTGACCAAACGTTTTCCTCATTCGGCAGTCCATAGTTGCTTGGCCACGATACCGTACTGTACAGTACAGTAAAGGAACTGCATTTCTTGGTGGAATACTTATGTCAATTATTATTAATAATAAATTATTTTCAGAAGAAGTGTATATTTTATCATATTTAACGTTGGCCACTGTTTTATAAAAGCAATAAGCCACTTGAGGCAGTGATTTTATCAAAGGGAAGGGAGTTTTACTCTGCTATGAGCTCCCTTCCCATGTCCGCAGTAACCCATGGCCTCTCATGGCTTATTGCGTTAGTATTGCACCTTACCCAACCTTACGCAAAGCCTGACCCTAACCCTGGCCCTAATCCTAACCCTAACCTTAACCTCAGCCCAAAACCTAATCCTAACCCTCATATGTTACTGACATGTTACTGAGAGTCAGTTGAGTGTTTGTTTCATTTAAAAATGACCACTGAAAATAAAGCTTCACCTTGATTTCTATTCAGTGAATTGCTGTTAGTTACATACAGTCGTGTGCAAACGTCTGGACACAGCTGCTGAGATTCCATGTTAGCGTTGATTTTCTAAGTGAAAATAAGTCAACACATCTCACAAAGGTGGTTCTTCAAGGGTTCTTTAGTAAAGACAGTGGTTCTATGTGGAACTACGAACACCATTTGCATGCTTAAATGGCTCTTTGCATGGTGAAATGGTTCTTCAGAATGTGTTGTATATGGTTCCAGCACCAAAAAGAGACCTGCTATTGTTGTGATGTCAAGCTTCTAACAATAGAAGAACCCTTCTTGGTGCTATTTAGAATCCTTTACAAAAAGGTACTATATAGAACCACATACAACACATTCTCCATCAATCCGAAGAACCATTTCACCATGCAGAGAACACTTTAAGCATGCAAATGGTTCTATGTGGATCTCATGGTTCTAAAGAGGACCATTGAGTTGACAGAGAACAAACTTCTGCACATTATAATGCACAATTATTGAATTTAACACAAAACATAAAATGCAGTCTGTGCAAAAGTTATAGCACATTTTATACTTTATGGTTCATTTGTTTCCAGCATGTATTTGATAAGTTAAAATGTGTTAAATAAATAGAAATCGTTTATTAAAATTAGCAGGAAAATGCCGTATTTGAGCGTGTTCTCTGTAGAGGATGTGTTGACTTATTTTACTTAGAAAATAAACAAAACATGCAATTTGACCAGCAGTGCCCAAACTTTTGCATGAGATTCTATGTGCAGTAAGTCAATAAAACACTAATTTAAAAAGAAAAATATGTGGTGTGAAATATTTAGTCTTCAATCACTTTTCCTAAGAAGACAAGATAATGCGTCTGTGGCTAACGCTACAGATGGAGGCTCTCTCTCTCTCTCTCTCTCTCTCTCCCTCTCTCTCTCTCTCTCTCTCTCTCTCTCTGAGCTGACAGGCTGATGGAGGGTTTCCTGTTTACTGGATGTGTTTCAATGAATCTCTTTCCTCCATTAAAGGGCCCATATCATGGAAAAATTCACTTTCTACACTTTTACTTTTCAATGTAAAAAGTTGTAGTATATAAACAATAAGATTTCAAAACGTACCGTCAACTCGCAAAAGCGAAAACATTTACACACACAACGATCAGGCGTAACATGATGACCACCTCCTTGTTTCTACACTCATTGTCCATCTTATCAGCTCCACTTACTATATAGGTGCACTTTGTAGTTCTACAGTTACAGACTGTAGTCCATCTGTTTCTCTGATACTTTGTTAGCCCCCTTTTACCCTGTTCTTCAGTGGTCAGGACCCCCATGGACCCTCACAGAGCAGGTACTATTTGGGTGGTGGGTCATTCTCAGCACTGCAGTGACACTGAGGTGTTTAACAACTCCAGCAGCACTGCTGTGTCTGATCCACTCAGACCAGCGCAACACACACTAACACACCACCACCACATCAGTGGTGAATAACCGACTCTAAATGTAGGTATTGTGATATAAACCGAGTCTGTTCTACAGTTTCTCATTAGGCTGAATGAATAACCGACTCTAAATGTAGGTATTGTGATATAAACCGAGTCTGTTCTACAGTTTCTCATTAGGCTGAATGAATAACCGACTCTAAATGTAGGTATTGTGATATAAACCGAGTCTGTTCTACAGTTTCTCATTAGGCTGAATGAATAACCGACTCTAAATGTAGGTATTGTGATATAAACTGAGTCTGTTCTACAGTTTCTCATTGGGTTGTCTAGTTGTTATGACCTACATAGTGGAGTTTATAGGAATTAGTGCACCATTTGAGGTTTAGAGTTTCAATTATAATAATGGAATTGAATTTCAATCAAACTGATCAAAGACTGTAAATAAGAGCACGGATTTAGAGAAATTGTAAGAACAAAACATACACAAAACTACTCTACAGAGGACAATCTCTCTCTCTCTCTCTCTCTCTCTCTCTCTCTCTTCTCTCTCTCTCTGTCTCTCTCTCTCTCTCTCTCTCTCTCTCTCTGTCTCTCTCCCTCCCTCTTTCTCTCTCTTTCTCTCTCTCTCTCTCTCTCTCTCTCTCTCTCTCTCTCGCTCTGTCTCTGTCTCTGTCTCTCTCTCGCTCTCTCTCTCTTCTCTCTCTCTCTCTCTCTCTCTTTGTCTCTCTCCCTCCCTCTCTCTCTTTGTGGTTGCAGTCTGGTGCCTGCTGTGCTGTTAGCGTTAGCGCTCTGTGAGTGAAGCAGGTTGTGGTGTGAGAGAGTGATTTGAATCAGGAAGTGATGCTGCAGCTGTAGGGTGCTGTGCAGTGGAAAGTTTAGCTGGTGGAGAGGTGCGGTGGGGAGAGGTACGGAGTGGAGCAGTGTGGTGAGGTGCACTGCAGTGTGGTGGGGCTTCAGGCTGGGTCTGTGTGAGGCGCTCGGTCGTTTCATGACATTTACACACAGAAACATTGAGAGACGCTGTGGTGGTCAAACACACTGAGCCCTCACTCAGACATCCAGCATATAACACCTGAAGAAACTATATAAGAAACTAATATATATATACATATCTATCATACCTCTCTCTCTCTCTCTCTCTACACATATATATATATATATATATATATATATATATATATATATATATATATATATATATATATATATATATATATATACATACAAGATATATATTTTGCTGCTGTTGGAACAAAACCTTGTATCTTCATTTTTGTTGTTTTGCAGTTTGACATAATTTGAAAACTCCTGTTGCTCTTTACATTGTGTGTAAATGTCATGATGAATGGACCACACACACACACACACACACATATATATATATATATATATATATATATATATATATGTGGAATATACATAGAATGGTACTATATGCAGTCTATGCTGTCTTGTTTTGCTGTAGATTTTTACTGAGCTGATCCCCGTTTGAAGGCTGTCAGTGACTGTATGTGTACCTGATTTTTGTTGATATTTCAGGTTTGCTTGATTGAAAAATAATCAGACATTTTAAAAGGACGAATATGTCTAAAATAATAATAAATAAATAACTATGCAAAATATATGTATCTACATATCTGTGAGTGCACCTATATTACCTACAACCGTGAACATAAACAAAAACTTTCCATGAATTTGCAAGTGAAAAATGGACTTGTGGTTTCTGACACTGTGTAACTCAGTGTTATCATAAACAAGGGGTAAATAGCAAACACAGTAGCCTAAGACATCTGAAGACTCAATGCAATTCAGATCAGTTCAAATCAATTCAATTCAATATACTTTATTGTCGTGGCCATATTTACCTGCAGTAAATGTAAAGTAACACTCTCTCTCTCTTTCTCTCTCTCTCTGTTTCTCTCTCTCTCTTCTCTCTCTCTTCTCTCTCTCTCTCCCTCTCTCTCTCTCTCTGTCTCTCTCTCTTCTCTCTCTATCTCTCTCTCTTCTCTCTCTATCTTCTCTCTCTCTCTGTCTCTCTCTCTGCAGTAGACTCGTACTCGTCGTGATGGGGAAGCAGAACAGTAAGCTCCGTCCTGAGGTGATGCAGGATCTGGTTGAGAGCACTGAGTTTACGGAGGCGGAGATCCAGGAGTGGTATAAAGGCTTCCTGCGGGACTGTCCCAGCGGAGCCCTCACCATGGAGGAGTTCAAGAAGATCTACGGGAACTTCTTCCCCTACGGAGACGCCTCCAAGTTTGCCGAGCACGTCTTCCGCACCTTCGACGCCAACGGCGACGGCACCATCGACTTCCGGGAGTTCATCATCGCCCTCAGCATCACCTCCCGCGGCCGGCTGGACCAGAAACTGAAGTGGGCCTTCAGCATGTACGACCTGGACGGAAACGGCTACATCAGCAAGGCCGAAATGCTGGAGATCGTACAGGTGCGTCAGGGGGTTTCTGTCCAGAAACAATGTCCAGACTTTGGAGTAAAACCAGAGGACAACAGTGCAAACCTAGAGTTTAAGGTTTAGAAAAATTCGTATAATAGATGCTTCTATATGTGATATATACAGGACATATTCCTATTACATATAGGTACTTACATATAAAACATACTATTAAACATAGATGCTCACACCCGATATGTAGATAAATATATATTATTTATTTATTATTATTTTAGACCAATTAGTCCTTTTAAAATGTCTGATTGTTTTTGATCAAGCAAAACTGAAATATCAACTTATAGATTTATATATAAAATACATATAGGACATGTTATTAGGAGATATAGATGCTGTAGCTGTATATAATACATAGGGCTGGGCGATAAAATGATAACGATAAGTATCGCGATATAACTTTTCCTCGACAGAGCGATAAGACAGGTTCGATAAATGTTCGATATAATACACCATTCTCACACTTCCACGTTTTAGCGAAAGCCCTGGTGGCGCTTTCTACTTCAAGGAAAGCGACACTACTCTGCTGTCGCCAGGAGAGGGCGCACTTCAGAATTTTTCGACTTGATTAGAGAGGGAGGGGGCCACGAGTAAAAAAAAGGGTCGCCAAATATACTTTAGCAACGGCTGAAACGCAGAGTTATACAGTCCCTGTTTGAGTGGATGTTATCGGCGATCTGTTCTCCTGTGACCGAGTGTGAGTGACGAGGTCAGTGGTGTAACTGTACTGTCCTACGGTGAACTCACCTCTTTCCATGCATCCTAACAGCTTTAGCGGTGTTAAATCACGTCTGCAGCGCCGTGTTACAGCGCCAAACCGCCATATTTTAGTATTAGTGCATTCTCGAGCAACGAAAGGGAAAGAAAGAAGTGGGTTAATGTTCGAAAGTAAACTGAGGAAGCTGTGAGGCACTGGAGAGCGGGAGAGCGCTGTCTCTCCAGGCTAGCTGTTTTTAGCTGCTGGCTAACTTGAAGCAGCGCTCCGGCACAACACGGTAAATTGATGATACGGTAGATCAAACAAGACACAAAATCACCGCTTTCAGTTTAAACATGCCTAAAAGGAGGACTCTGTGACTGGTGTGAGAGATTCACACTGCAGATAACGCTTTTACACAGCGAGCGTCAGATACACTGCGGTTCACCCCTTAAACTACTACGGTAGCATAGAGAAACCCAGCCGTCTAGCTGGTGTCTGAATACTGTAATCTGCTCTGACATGGATGTGGTAGGAGTGACCGCAGTGACCTACCGAACCGAGCTGACGTTGTTGAGAAACTAAAGAGTTTAGCGCTGTTGTTGGCCACTTGTTTAGCATTTGTAGCGGGGTAGCCGAGCGCTCGTCACCAGACAGCTAAAATAATCTGTTTTCTTTCTTAAATCATGACTATTACAAAAATTGCAGCTGTGCATTTCCAGCTGATAAAAACAGCTCAAAAAACTTTCTCCCACTGTCCCAAGACAGATTAGTGAAATGTTCCACTGTTTGCCGAGCGTTTGTCATGATCGGACCATAAGCGATAGTTTAAAACCACAGTTAACCCCATTTGCATGCTTAAATGGTTCTCTGCATGGTGAAATGGTTCTTCAGACTGATGGAAAATGTGCTGTATATGGTTCTATATAGCACCAAAAAGGGTTCTGCTATTGGTACAATGTCAAGCTTGTAACCAGAGGATATACCGAGTAGACAACAAAGCACTCTTTGTAAGTGGCTCTGGATAAGAGCATCTGCTGAATGCTGTAAATGTAAATATACAATATACAGCACGTTCTCCATCAATCTGAAGAACCATTTTACCATGAAGAGAACCATTTAATCATGCAAATGGGTCTTTGAGAACTCATGGGTCTATATAGAACCATTGTCTTTACTAAAAACCGTTGTAGAAGCATCTTTTAAAGAGTGTAGGGTGTTATTATTACATATGAAATATATATGATGCATATTAGTACTTGGATACATTATGTGTAAACCTACATATGTTATAAATAAAAACTGTTGAATGTATTAGAAAATTAAATGTACAGTAGTCTTGGTTTAGACAGCTGCTCGTCAATCTGTACTGAATCTCAGACTTTTACTGAGAGCTTTCAGTGCACTCTGTTCCATCACTGCAGTCAGGCCTATTGTACTCTCCCTCCTCCACACCGTCCACCCACCGGCAGCACACACACGCTCACCACCTACCTCTGAAACACCTCCAGACCGGGACCTTACATCACACACATCACGACCAGACACTCAGCAGCCACGCCTCGCACTTCCACCTCTCACTTCCCTTTATCTTATAAAGATGACTCGCCTGCTCTTCCTTAAAGGAGCAGCTCTGTAGAAAATCCAGCTTATTCAAATTTACACCCCACAACCCCCTGGCCCAGGAGGCTGATACCTGATTTATTTTGCTGATATTAATTTACCGTAAATTTACTCATATAGTGTAAAAAATGTACAGGAACAGGAATTGCTACACGAAATATACATATAGGTGAATATATACATATAAGTGAACATGTTTGAAGGGCCAATATAGTAGAAAACTGAATTTTCTCAGTTTTTTTGGAAATAAAGGAGTTTGAGTGTTTTAGTATGTTAACACTGATAAAGTTTCATCATCATCATCATCGTCTTCATTATCATCACTTTTATTCATATTGTGCCTTTCCCATGCTCAAGGATGCTTTACAGTCAAAGAACATGAACACATTAAACAGTTAATTCAAGTATAAATGGAATAACGAAAACAAGTAAGAGATTTAAATGAAGACAGAGAGGTGGCATCCCGAATAGACTGGGGGGAGATCACTCCATAATTTGGGAGCTACTACACTAAATGATCGACCACCCATAGAAGTCAGTTTAAACCTTGGAACATGAAAAAGGCCCATATTTTGCGATCTTAAACTTTATGTTTCAAAACATACCGGTCCATACTGTCCATATACGGAAACTGAGGACGTTTCCACACTTGTCCTGAATACTTGATTACACACCCAGGACTGATTCTGGGCTCGTTTGGGGGAGGAGCTCATTATTGTTTGCCTTCACACACAAGAATTCCTTCTAAACCGTAACTGGACTGATGCGCAATTCCATACGACACTTTTCTGAGTGCAGGCGGGCAAAATGGTCAACACTGGCTTCATCCGTTTGCTGCTTTTTACTGTTTTCATTAGATACAAACACTCAAGTGGAACAGTTAAGAGTTTTTATGAGTTGTGGCCATTTGTGCCTGAATGCCTTCTTCACTTCATATATCTATGACCTTCTCCTCTGCTGTCCATGACACTCCTCTCCCGCCATCACGAAACTTGAAAAGGGAAGTGATGCGATAAGTCGAAGCAGTCGCGTTGCAAAATGAACCAATCATGGAGCGAAACCCAGACCACCGATTTCAGGAAGACCACAGATCAGTGCTATGGACGCTCCTGGGCTCCAAAACTGCTTTCACACTCGACCAAACATACCGAACTCGCAGAGCAAGTAGAGCTGGGTCTGGAAAAAAGCTCTAGTGTGAAAACGCTGCATAAACTGCCTATTTTGCTTCTGTGATGTCACAAAATCAACACATTTACATATGTCCGCCTATATGGCCTACAGCAGTTTGGCCCCACCCACTCACATTTAAGTTATAAGGAGTGTTTCAGCCCGGATTGCTTTGTAAATGAAGCACAGCCAATCAGAACAGAGTTTGTTTACGTATATCAGCCTTAAAGGCACAGTAACAGAAACAGCCTGTTTAATTCTAAGAGAGAAATGAATAAAATCCAAAAAAAATAAAATGCAAGACAAATATAGGATAGAAATACTAACAGTAAACACTTATACTTTATAAAAATAACACACATAGTGCTTCCAGACAGTATAAACGTTTGGAAATGATGATATTAAAAATATGATGGCATTTCAAAATGAACTTTAAACAAGTAAAACTACACCAACAGCTCCCCGGAATCAAGCACATAAATTTGACACAACATGGGAGGCTTTCATTCAGGCTATGAAGTGTGATAAGCACAAGCGATTAGCCTGCATTAAGGCCAAGCTCACGTTCAATTCACATTTAAACTTCTTATCAACAAGAAAACGAGTTCAAATGCCGATTCTGTGTTTTACTGATCTGTTGGAGTGTTACAGCCTGTCTACATCGCTCCACTTAAACTGCCAGGATCTCTCAGCTCAGCTGGTGGAAGATCATTTTCTTATAAAACCCCTGAACTTTGGAACTCCTTTCCAGATAATGTTAGGAAGTGAGGTTGATGGATGTATTTAAGTCCAGATTAAAAACATATTTTTTACACTGAATAAAAAAAGTTGGTGTTTAAAGTTGAAAAGTGAGTTACCGGGCCGGATCAATATTTTGAGTTAAGTAAAGTGTTGAACAGAGAGTAAAACACAGATTCTTGCTCAGCTAATTTACTCGGGTTAGTGCTGGAGCAGGTAACACACAGTGCCCTCCTCCCGGGCCGAAAACCACAGAGCGAAAACTACTCAACACAACAAACAACTGCTTTTACATCAGGACTCTGAAAGCTCCTCTGTTGACACTCTGCCAGGAGTTTTTCCAGCAATCAGAGACACGTTTGGAGCAGACAGAGAAGAAGACGAATGGCTTCGTGCCATGCGGGAGTGATTTTAGACGACCAATTAACACCAGCAGAAGTGATGAGTCAGAACAGCAGCTCCCAGCGGAGCTTCCCTGAGCAGGAAACGGAGCAGGGCCGCAGCGAGGGGGGCAATAATTGTGATGAAACCACGCTGGGCTGACACTAATGGACCAATTATCCTCAGCATCAGGACAGAAAGCAAAACAGATGGTAGTTTCACATCATTCACAATCTCAGTGAGTTGTCTTAAGCGTCGCAGGCTTTGCTCCGAAAGTGTTCACTTATTCTCCAACCCCTACATTTTCCAACAAATTCCATTGTACTCTACCGAAACCATTCGCCGAAAAACATCATTATTCTCCAAACCCAGTCATTCCCTAACACCACCATTCTCCAACAAACACCCTCATTCTCCAACAAACACCCTCATTCTCCAACAAACACCTTCAATACGTTCTCCAACAAGCACCACCATTCTCCAACAAACACCATCATTCTCCAACAAACACCTTCAATACATTCTCCAACAAACACCATCATTCTCCAACAAACACCATCATTCTCCAACAAACACCTTCAATACATTCTCCAACAAACACCATCATTCTCCAACAAACACCATCATTCTCCAATAAACACCTTCAATACATTCTTCAACAAACACCATCATTCTCCAACAAACACCATCAATACGTTCTCCAACAAACACCATCATTCTCCAACAAACACCTTCAATACGTTCTCCAACAAACACCATCATTCTCCAACAAACACCAACATTTTCCAACAAACATCATCAATACGTTCTTCAACAAACACCTCTCACTGCAGGACGTACAAACTGTCAGTCATGATCAGGAACAGTTCTGTTTGTGGAGCTGAATAATGTTCACACACTGTTTTTGGTGAACGGCAAGTTTTTCCGATGTTCAGGAAGAACCACGTCAGTGAGCTGCGCTTCCTGTTAGTGCTCTGAATGTGACCTGGAGCTCTGAACTTCTGCTCCTGTGCTTCTCTCCCCTCAGGCCATCTACAAGATGGTGTCCTCAGTGATGAAGATGCCGGAGGACGAGTCCACGCCTGAGAAACGCACAGAGAAGATCTTCCGCCAGATGGACACAAATCGTGACGGTGGGCCCATCTTTCCTCCATTCACTCTTTCTCTCTCTCTCTCTGTCCGTCTGTCTGTCCCTCTGCCTCAGTACCTCAGTACCAGTGTCTTGTTTTGTTAGCGGTGGGCCGAGGGGGAAAAAAAAGAATAATACACAAATGAAGAGGGTGTGTTGGTTTCATGTAGAGTTTTAATATGTATTTTATATCACTTCATCATATTTTTTGCTAAAATACATCAAGAAGGCAATTTTAAAAAGAAAAATAAAGTAGGAATTTTATTTTTAACATAGATTTTGGGTTTTTTTTTTTCCATACAACCATGTGATGTGTACAAAAATGGCCCAAAATGGCAAAACATCAAGCTTTTAATGGTCTTAACATCAAATTATTAGTCAGTAAATTAGCAGGAATTAAACAAACAGCTGCAGTAAGTCAGTGTAGGAGAGCTTTTCTCTTTGACTTCTTTCAGTGTTGAAGTTTAGTGTGTGAACCTGCAGACAGTCTTTCACTGACAGAAGAGTCAGTATTGATCCACTCAGCACTGACGGCTTCAAACAGCTGAAAAACACTGCAGAGCTAGTTTGTGTTTAATGCGAGACCAAATATTCTCTATACACTCATAATTAAAATGGTCATTCAAGGGTTCTTTAGTAAAGGCAATGGTTCTATATAGAACCATGAACACTCAAAGAACCATTTGCATGCTTGAAGGGTTCTTTTCATGGTGAAATGGTTCTTCAAACTAATGGAGAATGTGTTGTATATGGCTCTATATAGCACCAAAAGGGTTCTGCTGTTGTTACAAGCTTAACAACGTTACAGTAGAAGAACGCTTTTTGGTGTTATATAGAACCACTTTCAAAAAGGTTCTATATGCAAGCATGTACAACACATTCTCCATCAGTCTGAAGAACCATTTCACCATGCAGAGAACCATTTAACCCCTTAAAATCCCAGGCTTATTACATACTAAGGCTTATTATTCAGTAACTACAGGGACTTCAGTGCAAACTAGTTGAGCTATTCTTAGGTTATAGAGATGTGTAATAAAACCTGGCTTTTTAAGGGGTTAAGCATGAAACAGTTCTATATGGAACTCATGGTTCTAAATATAACCCATCCCTTTACTTCAAGAACCCTTGAAGAACCGTCTTTTTTAAGCACTGCAGCCTAAAACTTGCATTCGGAACGTTTTATCCGAGAAACGTTAACTTTTCAGGAGAAAGAAAAACGTTCTTAACTCTGAATGGAAGTCAATTGAACTGCATTTAATTCCAAGTAATTTCCGGTCATTTCTGTTGCTCCATTCATCTCGGAATTTTAACACAACGTAAAGAAAAACTACTGTTTTCGAATTCTGTAAAAACAATGAAAAGCAGCTCAGTAGTCCTGTCTGACCTTTTGACCTCTGTCTTGTGCCTCAGGTAAGCTGTCTCTGGAGGAGTTTGTCGAAGGAGCGAAGAATGACCCGTCCATCGTGCGGCTCCTGCAGTGTGACCCCAGCAGCGCGGGACAGTAAAGCCGGAAGGCGCCCCCTGCTGTTCCAAACGTATTAATGCAGGTCCTCTCCTATTAACTTAAATACAGATCAGATTCCCAGAGGAAACATGTTGGTGGGATCCTCCTGGAGAGCAGGCGAGGGGCTTTCTGCCCAGAGAAGCATGTACACACATCACTCATCACTCACCCCCACCCCTACCCCCGCCCCCCACACACATTCACCCGTCACTCCGGCCCCCCAAGACACTGACCCGCGGCTGTGTGTGTGTATATGCATCTCTTCGTCTCTGGGACTTTTTTAAAGAGGAAATGAGCACTGTGAGGCTGTGAGGCTGCGAGGCTGCGAGGCTGTGCTCGATGAGTTTGTCCAGTGTGAGTGGACAGAAGCCATTTAGACGGACTGGTGTTGTCTAATGTCGGAATAACGACTGAACAGGTATGGAAAATAATCACCAAAAGCCCCAAATTTTACCACCCAAAAAAACTAATTTGATTTATTTCAGCGATCATGAAGTGCAATCATCGCAATTCTCTCTGCAATTTCTCTGAAATTCAGAACTTCCCCACCTAATAACATTTCACTAACATTTTTAATATGAGTAAAATGAGTGAAATGCTCAAACTAAGGCTGGGCCGTCTTTGCCCAGATGACTTTTTTACTTGAAGTTTTTTGTGACATTAAATATAATTTAATAAGAGCTAGGAGCAGATTTGGTTAGATGAGTCCAGTGTAACGGTGCTCCATTCAGGAGTATCACAGAAATAAAACATGTACCAAAATTAGGCTACACGACTCTGAGGATACGTCAGAAACTCGTTTTATACTGTTAAAAGCACTTCTTCACACTTGATTCACGAGATTTAGCAGTAATATTGGGATCATTCCACACCAGTTCATCCAGGGCCTGGCAGATCACATCATGGACTTCCAAAAAAATTCAAGAAAATTTTTTAATTTCGTTTGCACAACCATGCCAAATTTTAAAGATGTGCTTCGAATATTTTTTTAGTTATGTTTTTTTAAAGTTTGCCCCATTAGGTTGTAAATCACACCTTTAATATTGAGTGTAGCTGCTTAAAGAATGCCAAACAGAGCTAAAATATTAAGTGGTTATAAATACAACAATAAATACGATGATAAATAATGTTTAACTTTAAATCAATGTACTTTTTATGTCAGTGCGTAAAATTAGAAATGTAATACTTCAGTTAATATTACAATTATTTTTTTGTTCTTTTTTTGTTTTTCTTTATTTATTATTTTTACTATTTCTTTTTATTTCTCTGCTAGTTAATCAAATAACGCAAGTTCAACAAATGAATACATCTCAAAGAGGTCATAGTACGTCTGTAATTTCTTCTGAATTAATGAGACTTTTTCCTTATTCAGGAAAAATGTTTGAAGGACTGAGTCACTTTTTGAGTAATTTTTGAGAAAATACCTGGTCAATACAAGCTAGCCAGTTTTAAAACTTACTTTTGACTTAAAGTTTATCTTTAAATATTCAATGCAGAAATAAATATTTCACAGGTTTGATAATAATATAGATATACTACATAAAACCTGAATTTTGCAAAAATAAGAAACAAATAAACCTTCTATAAATTAACCTGTTGCAGGAATTTATTAATATAAACTAGCTTATTGAAGGTAAAATTTTATTGCAAGTGTTTATGCCCAGTTAATATTTCAGCTCAGTTTAGCATTCTGTAAGCAATTAAACTCAATATTAAAGAAGCAATTTGATACCTGATATAACAAACTTTAAAAATTGATAACTAAAAAACTATTTGGGGCACGTCTTTAAAATTTTGCATGGTTGCTTGACTTAAATAGAAGTTTTTTCTTCAATTTGTTCCATGACATGATAAGCCAAATCCTACATGATATGGTGTGGAATAACCCATTGTTGAATATAATCAATATGATTGCATCAGTAGACCGAAGTGAGTTTCTGGATAATTCATCTTCACATATAGAAGCGACTGTTTCATTGATCATTGATGTCCACTTGACTGCTCCACCAGGGAGGACATTCAATAACGTGTTAGACGAAATATATATATATATATATATATAAATATACATATAGGTGATATTTATTCTTCTACTTGGTGATCACTTTGTGGCAGGTTTGTCACACTACGAGAGATTTCTTTTATTTGTCATGTTTTTTGTTTTCCTTTCAAATCAATGCAAATGTAATAATCATATGTACAGTATGTTCATATTTATGTAGGACTGTGAGGACGGTGAGAAGTGAAGACCACATATTTTGCTATGCACGTCTTTTAAACCCACACGCTTATGAAAGGAGTAGTTCAGTGAAAAATGTCATTTACACAGTTACAACAAATGTAGTCGATCACATGACACACGCTTGCTTCTTTAGTTTTGAGGCTAATGTATACGAGGCTAATGTAGCAGTCGTATGCATACATTTGTGACTGTAAATAAGTGAACACATTGTTTATGGAGAGCACACTTAAATTGCATTTTTGCATTTTTTATGCAAATTTAAGTACAGAATATATATATATATATATATATATATATATATATATATATATATATATGAAATATTAAATATTTTATATATAATAAATATAAAAGAAATGTTTCATATATAAAATATTAAATGTGCCATAACTTTTTCCCAGGCCACATTCTGCAGAACTGTGTTCTTTATAGAGGATGTGTAACTTATTTACATTAAAAAAAACAGCATGGAATCTGACCAGAGGTCCACAAACATTTATTTAAAACAATTAAAAATGCAAAATAAACACCAAAAATGTGCAGGAAATTAAATAGGACATTGCACATTTATAGAGAATGAACATAAACATGTAATATAATGTTTACATTACATGTTTTGTTCAAAGCATACATAAAAAAAACGAGCTATTTATTTTTCAGCTTTAGTTTTTTTTTCATTATTTTTTGTGTATGTGTTTGTGGAGGGGGGGGGGTCTGATACTGTATGAAACACTGTTATCTATAAACATGGACTAAATTCAGGCTTCAGGGTCGCCGGTGCTGTTTTTACCTCTGTGTGCTTTTTAGCTACATTAGCCTCGTAGCTCTAGAGCTAAAACTAAAGGAGCAAACTTCAGACACCAAACATGGCCTGGTCGACTGTGTTTGGGGTAACGGGGGACTGTAGAGACGTGATTTTCTGCTGAAATGTTTCTTTAAGCGCTGCAGTTTCCACCGTCATCTCCCCCGACTGTCCCATACGGCCACTAACAAGCATAAATACAACAACCGAAATGAAAATAGAGTATCAAACTGCGTATGTACAGTGTAAATAATGAAATACTGTGAGAGTGCGGCTGAATCCCGTATGTGAATTATGTCTCAGATGCTGTTTAATGTCATGTTTACTCTGTCACACCTTCATTCACTCAGTCTTCTGCACAGTAAGTGTGAACGAGGCTTTATGTTGGATCTAAACTACAATAATTGTCTTTAAAGGGGAATTCCACCAATTTTTCAAAATTCCTGCATAATTAAAGGGTTGAGATGTAAACAGAGTCGTTCAGAGTGGTTTGGTGTGAAACGCTCTGTTCTAGAGAAACTTACAGAGTCAGAACTGTTCACAGTGGTGGTGATAGGAACCAGACGTCCACCTCTAAAAGCTCCCTCACAGAAAGTTCCTACATGAAATGGTTATGAATTCACTGCCTGATGACTGAGACACTGTTTTATGATAGTTTTGAGAAGATTTTGGCCATAAAATCCATTCATGGTGGAGGGATACATAATATGCAGGGTGTTGTGAGGCAAAATAGTCCCTAAATAAAACTTATTTTTAGCAGATTTTCCACTATTTTACCATCATCAACATTCCATATAAAAGCTCAGAAGACTCGTGTAGGTTCACTGGATGGTTAATAAGTGAATTATGCTGAAATTCTGAAAATTTGATGGAATTCCCCTTCAGTGTGACAGAACTCTGGCCTCATTTTAGCTAAAATAAGCCCACCCAGCTCCCGCTTTTTCGTCTATATGCTTTAATATGCAGACGTATGTGTGCATGCACGAAGTTTGTTGAGCGCCGTCTCGTTTTACTGGTGTTTATCTGTGCGTACATCAGACGTGAGTGATCAAAAACAAAGGAGGATTTCAGTGTAAATGCTGTTTCTTTCAGTTATGTAAATGTATGTACAGTAACACACGCTCAGGGCTAGAAGAGACTGTGCTTTAAATGAAGAGGAGATGCTAATAAATAACAATACAATCAATACAATCAATACAATCAATACAAAAACACCCTAGAATCTTAAAATAACAATGACCAGTCATCTTCTGAGACCACCTCAATGACCGACAGCTCTCAGAGCTCTGAATGTGGCTTTGAGTGAAAGACCTGCTTTTGTGATGAAGTATGAACGTTTGAAATGTTTATGTGCTTTTTTTTAAAAAAACAAATAAACAAGGATTTCCTTTCTTGTTCTTATTTTATTTTATTTTTTTAATATTTCAATTCCAGTGTCCGGCATTTCACTTCTGAATCGTGCACATTAGCAGCAAAGTGGTCAAAGTGCCAAATATAGAAATCATTAACTGTACGAGGAAAAGCCAGTATTGTTTGGGTTTATACTGTATGATTGTTCACTATCGAACAAAATGTTTGTCATCATCATTTTGTAGTTTTTTGTATGGTAACGTACTTTGTGTCCCTGTAGTTTTGGAAAACAGAGCGTCTGTTTTGGTTATAAATTAAAAGTCTTTAAAAAACAGGATTGTGTCTGTGTGAAGTTTGTGTGTGTTGGAAATGCTATGATATGTATATTATATGATATGATATTTAGACAAAAAAGCCGCTGTGCTATAAATATGTCCCAGCTGAGCAGACCCTGTTTAAAACGTGGGGGTTTTAATTCAGAACAGTGAGTGTCTGAACTGCCTTAAACGTTTGACTTATTTGAACTTCAATTAATAAGTGGATAGTGCATCAAACAGATTCTCGTTCTATAAAAAAACTATTTTAAATTTCTAAAAATGTTTTAAAGCAGCCTGAATACTAATTTTTCTAAAGTTAAAATAACAAATTTTATCTGAAACTCACTGTGGTATTATATATATATATATATATATATATGTTCCAGCTTTCAGGAGAAGTAAAATATACACTTTACTTTTAATATATGTCAATGAAATTAGACTTTCTTCCCAGTTATTTTGGGCACAAAATACAAATTATGAAAAGTAAAATGAGATATGAGGTTTTGTTCCAACGGCAATGATGCACACACACACACACACACACACATATATATATATATATATATATATATACCAATAAAAGTCCTTGGGCAAGACTCCTAACACTACCTTCACCTACCTGTGTAAAATGATCACACTGTAAGTCGCTCTGGATAAGAGCAGCTACTAAAGGCCTTAAATGTAAATATGTATTCATTGGCATAAACATTTAAATCTTAAACACAGACTGAGCATCTACAGCATCTACAGCGGACCATCAAGATGAAGTGTTATAAATTATAAAACGCAGAGTTCTGGTCCTGAAATCTGATTGGCTAAGCCGCATTCAAAGCTGCTGTAAAATCCATGATACACGCACACCTATGACCGCCTCACAACCACTGAACTCTGTACCACAGCACCAAAAACCCTTCTGCTGTTGATGGAATAATCTTTATATATATGATATACTGATGAAGTATGATCCTGTTTTTTGTTTAAACTGAGGGGCTGACAACTTATGTTCTTAACTAGAACTGGGCTGGTCAGCTAGCTAACAGGCTAAAAGAGCCAACAGCCTAAACAGCTCCATCATTAATATCACAGGCTTGAATTAAAGCAGTTACAGTGTGATTTACTGTAAAACGACAGAATAAAAGTCTAAAAATGTCACTTGAATGTTTTACACGCTTCAAATGTTCATGATTCAGTCAGAAGTCGCGTCAAACCCAGGCTGAATCCCAAACGGCTCTGTACTCCCTAAATAGTGTTCTAGCTATGAAAGTTTAGAAATTCTAGCCTCTACAGCCAAAC